GTCCCAGGTGTGTCCCAGGTACCCCCAGGCGTCCCAGGTGTGTCCAGGTGTCCCAGGTGTCCGTCCCAGGTGTGTCCCCAGGTGTCCCCAGCTGTCCCAGGTGTATCCCAGGTGTGTCCCCAGGTGTCCCCAGCTGTCCCAGGTGTATCCCAGGTGTGTCCCCAGGTGTGTTCAGCTGTCCCCATGTGTCCCCCCAGGTGTGTCCCCAGGTGTGTCCGCACCTCCCCCTCGGGCTCCAGGAAGCTCCACCCCCCCTGCTCGAAGAAGCCCTCGGGGTCGTCCACGATGGTTTTCATGATCTTGGTCCAGTTGAGGGACTGCACGCCCTCGGTGTACTTGAGGTCACAGGAGCTGCAGGTGAGACAGGTGAGACAGGTGAGACAGGTGTGACAGGTATGAGAGTTACAGGTGTGTGACAGGTGAGATACAGGTGTGACAGGTGTGACAGGTGTGAGACAGGTGTGTGACACAGGTGTGACAGGTGTGTGACAGGTGTGAGACAGGTGAGACAGGTGAGACAGGTGTGACAGGTGTGTGACAGGTGAGTGACAGGTGTGACAGGTGAGTGACAGGTGAGACAGGTGTGACAGGTGAGTTACAGGTGTGACAGGTGAGTGACAGGTGAGTTACAGGTGTGACAGGTGTGTGACACAAGTGAGACACATGAGACAGGTGTGACAGGTGAGTGACAGGTGAGACAGGTGAGACAGGTGAGTTACAGGTGTGACAGGTGAGTGACAGGTGAGACAGGTGTGTGACACAAGTGAGACACATGAGACAGGTGTGACAGGTGAGTTACAGGTGAGACACAGGTGAGACAGGTGGGAAACATGGGACAGGTGAGAGACAGGTGAGAGAGGTGAGAGACGTGGGGCAGGTGAGATACAGGTGAGGGACAAGTGTCACAGGTGAGACAGGTGAGTGACAGGTGAGTGACAGGTGAGACACAGGTGAGACACAGGTGAGACAATAAAAAAATTCCAGGGGAAAATTCCGAAAGAAATCCAGAAAAAGGTGAAATAAAAACCTTAAAAAAACCAAAATTAACGTAAAAAAACCCCGACCCAAACCCCGCAAAAATTCACAGAAATTCCTCAAAAAATCAAAAAATAAAAAAATGAAACAAAAAAAAACCTTTAAAAATAAAAATCATTAAAAATAAAATAAAAAAATTAACAAAAAAAATTCCCCAAACTCAAAAACCTTATAAAATAATAAAAAACCTAAAAAATCAACTTAAAAAAAAAACCTAAAGGAAGAAAAAAAAAATAGGAAAGATATTGAAAAAATTGTGAAAAAAAAGTATTAAAAAAATTATTAAAAAATGGAAAAAAATTGGAAAAAAAAGAAAAAATGGAAAAAATATGGAAAAAATTATTAAAAAATGGAAAAAATGGGAAAAAGGTTAAAAAAGGAAAGAAACGGAAAAAATACTAAAAATATTGAAAAAATAAAAAAGGAAAAATATTGAAAAAATTTTTAAAAGGAAAAAGAAAGGAAAAAAATATTAAAAAAATGTGAAAAAAGGAAAAAATACAAAATAATGGAAGAAAAATGGAAAAAAATGGAAAAAAATGGAAAAAAAGGGAAAAAAATGGGAAAAATGGAAAAAATATAAAGAAACGGAAAAAAATGGAAAAAAGTTGGAAAAAAATGGAAAAAAATTATTAAAAAGTGGGAAAAAACCAAAAAAAATATAAAACAATGGAAAAAAAAACGGAAAAAAAGGAAAAAATTACAAAAAAATGGAAAAAAAATGGGAAAAAAAAAAGGAAAAAACCCGGAAAAAAATTCCCCAAAATTGCCCCAAAAATGGCGCCCCTCCCCCAGCCCGGATTGCCGAGGAGGTCCCGGAGGATTCCCGGGGAATCGCCGTCCCCTCACTTGAGCCACTCCTTGATGGGGTCGAGCGAGGCCACGGGGATGGCGTTGATCATCGTCACCTTGCGCGCGTAGTCCTTGTACACGATCACCAGGTCGAAGTTCTTCAGGTGGAATTGCACCCGCTCAAAGTGGATCAGCTCCACCTCGTCCAGCGTCACCACGAACGGCGGCTGAAACACACCTGGGGTTACCTGGGAACACCTGAGTTACACCTGGATACACCTGAGTTACCCCTGGATACACCTGGGGTTACCTGGGGACACCTGGGGTACACCTGGGTACACCTGAGTTACACCTGGGTACACCTGAGTTACACCTGAGTTACCCCTGGATACACCTGAGTTACACCTGAGCACACCTGAGCACACCCGCTCGAAGTGGATCAGCTCCACCTCATCCAGCGTCACCACGAACGGCGGCTGAAACACACCTGGGGTTACCTGGGAACACCTGAGTTACCCCTGGGTACACCTGAGTTACACCTGGATACACCTGGGGTTACCTGGGAACACCTGGGGACACCTGGGGTACACCTGGATACACCTGGACACAGCTGGGGTACACCTGAGTTACCCCTGGATACACCTGAGTTACACCTGGGGACGCCTGGATACCCCTGGATACACCTGAGTTACACCTGGGGACGCCTGGAAACACCTGGATACACCTGGGGTACACCTGGATACACCTGGGGTACACCTGGGTACACCTGGATACACCTGGGGTACACCTGGGTACACCTGGGGTACACCTGGATACACCTGAGTTACACCTGGGGTACAACTGAGTTACCCCTGGATACACCTGGACACAGCTGAGTTACACCTGACTACACCTGGATACACCTGAGTTACACCTGGGGTACACCTGGATACACCTGAGTCACTGCTGTCCCACACCTGTCCATGTCCTTCACGTACCCACTCACTGCAGTTCACCTGTACCTGTATCACACCTGATCACACCTGTAACACCTGTCACACACCTGTATCACACCTGTCCGTACCCCCCACATACCCACTAGG